CGAGGGTGTGACGCGGCTCAACACGCCGACCCGCCTCCCGTCGACGCTGGGTGAGCGCGCCGTGAGCGTGTCGGCAGGAGTCAACCACAGCCTCGCCCTCACCGCCGCCGGCAGCGTCTGGAGCTGGGGAAGTGGAGGTGGGTTGGGCCACGGCGACCACCAGCGCCGGCCGCTGCCGAAGAAGGTCGAGGCCTTTGCTGGCAGGCGCGTCGTCGCTGTGTCGGCTGGACGCTTCCACAGCCTCGCTATCTCCGCCGACGGAGCCGTCTGGAGCTGGGGTGGTGGAGCCTTTGGCCAGCTGGGCCACGGCGACCAGCAGGGCCAGCTGCTTCCAAAGAAGGTCGAGGCCTTCGCTGGGCGGCGCATCGTCGCTGTGTCGGCTGGAGAGCACCACAGTATCGCCCTCACCACCGACGGCGCCGTCTGGAGCTGGGGCTGGGGAGCCTATGGCCGGTTGGGCCACGGCGACGAGCAGGGTCAGCTGCTGCCCAAGAAGATCGAGGCCTTTGCTGGCCGGCGCATATTAGCTGTGACGGCTGGAGACGCGCACAGCCTCGCCCTCACCGCCGATGGCGCCGTCTGGAGCTGGGGCGATGGATACGGCGGCAAGCTGGGCCACGGCGACGGGCAGCGCCAGCTGCTGCCCAGGAAGATCGAGGCCTTGGCTGGCCCGCGCGTCGTCGCTGTGTCGGCCGGAGGCAACCACAACCTCGCCCTTACCGCCAACGGTAGTGTCTGGAGCTGGGGCTGGGGAGCCGGTGGCCAGTTGGGCCACGGCGACGAGCAGACGCAGCTGCTGCCCAAGAAGGTCGAGGGTTTTGCTGGCGAGCGCGTCGCCGCTGTGTCGGCTGGAGAGTACCACAGCATCGCCATCGCCGACGGCGCCGTCTTCACCTGGGGCGGGGGGGACGGCGGCTGCCTAGGCCACGGAGAGGACCTGTCGAAGCAGCTGCTGCCCAAGAAGGTCGATGCGTGGTCGTTGGGGCCATAGCGTGTGTAAAGTATGCCTGGAGACACGCTGTTTGAAAAACATGAAAAAGAAAGAAAAAAACAGACAACCCAAGGGAGGGATGGGAGGACGGCACGCCGCCACCGCACAGGCTAGCGCACAGGGATTTTAAGGAGAGGAGTGTGGTGCTAGCCGTCGCCCACCCTAACCCTTGGTCGTCTGCCTCTTTCTATCTCCCTTCGCAGTCCCTCGCGCCTCGGCCCATTCTCGCTGAAAGGTTTATTCTTTTTTTACGGACTGGCCCGCAGCTAGTCGAGAGACTCGGTAGTTGTGACCCCCCTCTGTGCTCTGAGTGGTGAGTGAGGACAGGAGAGAGAGAGCTTTTGTGGTGTTGGTGTACGCAATAACGGGACTGGGTAGTCGTTCTCTCTAGCTCCCCTTCTAGCTCTTGGCATGAGCTGCGCCCTGTGTCCGACCCCTTTTGCGCAGCAACACCTTAAACTTTTAGGCCCTCCAAATTCGGGTCGGAGCGTAGGCCGTAGCGGAGTGGGCCCCGAGTTTGAAAAGGGCGACGGACGCTTGCGTCCTAGCCTCCAACAACGCCTCCCCGGCGCAGAGGGGCCCCCGGGGGGATGCTCAGCCGCTCCTTTCACGCCGCTTGCGGCGGTCCTATTCCCAGCTCCGCTGGGTCGGCGTTAGCTTGTTTAAATTATTTTTTGTTTCTAAACTTTTTTTTTATCGACAAAGTTTCGCGCGTCCCCACGATGGTTGCTGCCCTTGGCGGCAGCCACCGTGGGAGCCGACCTGGAGATCCTCAGCGGCTGCAGCCGCCCGCGGTCGCTGCCGAAGGCACCGGTCGCATGGACTTCAGCTCGGTACACGCGCTGCCGGCCGGTGGGCCACGCTCTGATGGACGACGCTCTGGTGCCCTAGACCAGCGCCAACCCCAACAGAGCTCTCCCGGCCGGCCGCTGCGACGCGACAGCCTGGTCCCCGAGCCTCCTGCTGCTGCCACGGCCCGGCCTCCAGGCACAAGGCTCGCCTCGCAGCAGCCCGAGCAGCAGCCCGAGCAGCAGCCCGAGCAGCAGCCCGAGCAGCAGCCCGAGCAGCAGCCCGAGCAGCAGCCCGAGCAGCAGCCCGAGCAGCAGCCCGAGCAGCAGCCCGAGCAGCAGCCCTCACGGCAGCCCTCACAGCAGCAGCAGCCCGAGCAGGGGCCCTCGCAGCAGCCCGAGCAGCAGCCCGAGCAGCAGCCCGAGCAGCAGCCCGAGCAGCAGCCCGAGCAGCAGCCCGAGCAGCAGCCCGAGCAGCAGCCCGAGCAGCAGCCCGAGCAGCAGCCCGAGCAGCAGCCCTCACAGCAGCCCTCACAGCAGCAGCAGCCCGAGCAGGGGCCCTCGCAGCAGCCCGAGCAGCAGCCCTCGCAGCAGCCCTCGCAGCAGCCCGAGCAGCAGCCCGAGCAGCAGCCCGAGCAGCAGCCCGAGCAGCAGCCCGAGCAGCAGCCTGCACAGCAGCCCGAGCAGCGGCCCGCGCAGCAGCCCACCATCTGTGCCTCCGCCTCTGCCTCTGCCTCCGCCGCCCCCACCTCCGCTGCCGCCGCCCCTGCCTCTGCCGTCTCTGTCCCCCGCTGCCGCCACTGCTCCTCCTGCGAGGCACCGCCGTTCCGTTGTTCTCTTTGTTGTCCCGGTATCAGCCTCTCTGAGAGCATCCGGGACGACTCCACCCTTCATTCTTGCGGCGCTGCCGCGAGCTGCGCTGGGGGCTACGTCGCGTGCGGCGCTGCTGGCGGCTGCGCTGCCTCCGTTGCGGGCGGCGCGAATGGCAACCCTCTCCCTCCCACCGCCGCCGCCACCCTCTCCCCCCTCCATCCCCCCCGGCCGCCTCTCACCACCGCCGCCATCCCCCCCTTTCCTCTCCCCTTTCCTCTCCCCTTTCCTCCCCCCTTTCCTCCCTCCACCCCCCTCGCCTCCCCGCCGCCTTCACCTCCCTCCCCGCCGACCCGCCCCGAGTCGCCTCACAGCCAGCACGGTGGCTGGCCGACGCCCAGAGAGCCGTGCTCCCCTCGGCCGGGCGGCGCGGCCGGCGGTACCGCGCGCGTCGGGGCGAGCGGCGAGCCCCTCCTCTACCGCATTCCGAGAAGGGAGGGCGTGGTCGAGTACATGGACGCGACGAGAACGCAGGAACTCGCGGCCGAGGAGGAGGCCGAGCGGCAGCGCAAACGGGCGCGAGAGAAGGAGGCATGGCGCGCGCAGCGCGAGCGCAGCGCCAAGAAGACGGCAGCGCTGCAGGGGCACGACGAGGCATGGGGACGCGCGAGGGTGGCCCATGTCGGGCGCGCGCACTCGGTGGCTGGCGCGCTCGACGCGCACATCGAGCGGCACTGGCGGCCAAGCGGCGGCGCGTTTGCC